CTTTAAGGAGGATTATTACTTAAAAATTATAAAATATTTAATTTCGATAATTTTTTTATCAAAGAAATATTTACTCTGATTATTTATTTTTACTAAATAAATAATTAAAAATGTTTTGATTATTTGAAAATGTAAGAATAAGAATAATTGATAATATTTAAATAAAAGTTATGATACAATTAATAAAATACATGTTATTAGTTAATTTAGAGAATTTAGATATAATTTCATTTTGCTTTCATGTAAATATTTGAAAGATCATAAAAATACAGCATACAAATATGATTATATTGTAAAGCCAAAGTTATTTTATAAGGATATAATTTATAAGTAAGAAAATAACCATTTAGGTTATTAGAGTTTTAAATATTTAATTAAATATTTTTAATTTACCAGAATCTCTTATGATTCTAAATATTTTGATAATTCTTTCTATTTTTCTATTTATTTGAATAAAATAGACTGAATTTAATTACTATCTTAATTTCAATTGTCATAATAAATAAATTTATCTTCACTTTTATTTATTTTATTATATAAGAAAATAAAAAGAAAAATATAATGATTTTTTATTATTTTTTATAGAATTTGGAATAATAATAATAATAACTTATTATATGTAGTAAGGAGAGAAATTAGAATTTAGGTGTCCAAAAGAAATTCATAATGGCTATGCAAAATTTGTATGTTTGAATGAATTCTGTACCAATAGTAGAATTTTTTGTTTTGAATGTATAAAGAAAGGTGATCATAATACTCATATCAAAGATTAATATGAAATTGATAAACTATTTTAATTTTTTGATAGCCAAAAGAAAAAAACAGAAGAATTAATATAAAAATTATAGTTGATCATTGTTGCAATCACTAATTAATTTTCTTAATTAGAATAAAGATTGAAAATTAAATGTTGTTTCTCAACAGCAGAAGTATCAAAATTTGATACATAAAGACTAAATCAAGCATTAAATTAAATGATAAAATATAATGATATTACTAAGAACATATTATAAGATATTAATTAAAGTAGTAATGCTTTATTTGATTAAATAAATAAATATACTAATGAATTTACATTAGATGAAACAGACAAATAGAACTAAGCTTATTTAAAAATATAGTAAGTTAATGAATTATTTGAATAAGGTATTAAAACAATTATTAATTTTTAGGTTAAAAATTATATGAAATAGAGAAATATCAAGAAGCAATAGAATATTTTGATAAAGCACTATAAATTAATCCAAATGATTGTTAATCTTTGCATTCAGCATGTAAAACAATCATCCATAAATGTTTTAGCTAAATGCTTAACAATGATTAAAAATTACAAGGATGCAATTATTAAAGCTGATAAAATACTCTAAATAGATTAAAATAATCCATAATATTTATGTATAAAAGGTAAACAAACCCTTTAAATCTTTTAGCTGAAATTTTAAGATGTCAATAAAGATATGAAGAAGCAATTTTATATTCTGATAAGGCTCTTTCAATAAATTCAAAGCATCTATTTTCCATAAACAATAAAGGTATGTAAATCTTATTTAATATATTAGCTGATTGTTTAAAAATGCTTAAAAAATATGAGGATGCTATTTTCTGGGCTGATGAAGCTCTTTAAATAGAGTAAAAGAATCTTTTCCCCTTGACTGTAAAATGTAAGCAAATATTATAAAATATATTAGCTCAAAGTTTAAAAATGATTGGGTAATACAATGACGCAATTATATGGGCTAATAAAGTTTTATTTATTAATGAAGATGATATTAACTCATTAATTACAAAAAGTATGTGAATCTTATAAAATATATTAGTTGAATGTTTAATCAAGATTGGAAAATATAATGATGCCTTTAGATGTCTTAATACAGCATTATAATTATATCCAGAAAATTTAACTTTAAAATAATTAAATAGTAATTGTTATTTTTAATAATAGTTTAATTATTAACTATTTAGAATTAAAATAATCAAGCTAATTAAAGTTTACAACAAATTGAGAAAAATTTGATTGCTCCTTTTTTTTAATTAATCAAAAATAAAAAATGAACTCTCTTGAAATTAATTTAATTATCTAATTTTTATAATAATAATTTAAGTAACATTTTCTACTTTTATAATTGAGAAATATTCCTTTACTTTCTATCACAATTTTAATTATACTTTTACAATAAGAAAATTTATCCATAACCATAATAATGATAAAATCTTTAAATTTATGTTAAAATATTAAATTAAATTCTTATTCTACTTTCATCAATAATTTTCTTTGTTTTTAAACTAATTCATATTCATAGAATTAAATAACAAAAGATTGATTCTAAAAACAATAATTGATTATAGTTCATTTTATATTAAAATTGCTTTAAAAAGTTTATATAATCTTTAATGTACACAACTCAATAAAAACTCATTAGAAACCATACAAAATTTGTATATCATAAAATTTATAAATTAGAAGTGATAATAATCAATTTATAATTAAAATAAATTTGTTAATATTAATTAAGCATCTATAAGAAATTAAATAATTTTAATAAAAATCAAATAGCTCTCTTCCATCCAATAATAACTTCATTTAAATCCCAAGCATATGGCTTATATTGTCGAATATTTGTTAGGAAATATTGATCACCCTCTTTCTTTAAAAGTACTTATCTTGCATAATTGCAATTATCCCAATCTTCATCATAGTTTTATTCTGCCAAATCAACAAGGTTTCCATTTACATTTGTAACCACAGCAACATGTCCCCACCATTATTTGCCACTCTTTTAATAAATAACAAGATCTCCTTTTTGAGGTGGAATAGAACTGCCTTATGGTATTGATTGAAACTATCTCTATTATTAAGTCATTATATCAGTAACAGTGTTAAGATCAAATATATGATATGCACAACCAACATCACCAAATACAACTCCTTTAGTCAAGATAAGATATCTTCTTGCATATTCTACACATTAGAATCTAAAGTAATTATGAATAGTATAAAAACCTCACTCCAGTAAAGACTTATCTATTATCAATAGTGATATAATTTGATCTAAAGTTGATGCCTCTATTATAATAGGCTGGAACATTATCAACTATTCCAGCAACAGCAGGTTCTTTATTACAAAGATTTCCCATAATTTATAGTAATTCTAAAATCCAAAAATTTAATATTAGAGCAATTATTATTTTGTATGATATAAGATGAGTGTTTCTGATGAAATATATTTGATAGAATGTAATTAATTATATATATTGAACATATTTTGTAACTAAATAATATCATAAGAGATAGACAAGAGTACTAATTATAAAAATTATAAATAATTAGTTAAGATGGGAGGAAATTGTTCTAATTGTAATTAATGTCAAAAGGATAGATTAGAGATAATTAATGAAATTGAAGTGACAAAAAAGTCAGATAGTTAAAGAAGAGTATTATCTTCAGTTTCATAACAATCATAAAATAGTTAATTAGATGTTGTAATGAATAGTATTATCTATAGAATGATTTGAAATAGATTAAATGTGCACCAACTGAATAGAAGAATACAAAGTTTTCAGTGTTTGCAGAAGATTAAGAAAAAGATAAAAAGGATGATAAGAATTTGAATCAAAAGGCCGTTGTAATATAAAAAATTTGGAAGGGACACAAAGCTAGATAGAGTTATTAAGAATTGAAGAAATCCTTATCAGAAAAGAATTAAAAAGATGAGTGTAAGAATTAAGAATAACAGTGTGATTAAGTAACAATAGCTAGTAAAGATAAAAAAAAGNTTACACAACTCAATAAAAACTCATTAGAAACCATACAAAATTTGTATATCATAAAATTTATAAATTAGAAGTGATAATAATCAATTTATAATTAAAATAAATTTGTTAATATTAATTAAGCATCTATAAGAAATTAAATAATTTTAATAAAAATCAAATAGCTCTCTTCCATCCAATAATAACTTCATTTAAATCCCAAGCATATGGCTTATATTGTCGAATATTTGTTAGGAAATATTGATCACCCTCTTTCTTTAAAAGTACTTATCTTGCATAATTGCAATTATCCCAATCTTCATCATAGTTTTATTCTGCCAAATCAACAAGGTTTCCATTTACATTTGTAACCACAGCAACATGTCCCCACCATTATTTGCCACTCTTTTAATAAATAACAAGATCTCCTTTTTGAGGTGGAATAGAACTGCCTTATGGTATTGATTGAAACTATCTCTATTATTAAGTCATTATATCAGTAACAGTGTTAAGATCAAATATATGATATGCACAACCAACATCACCAAATACAACTCCTTTAGTCAAGATAAGATATCTTCTTGCATATTCTACACATTAGAATCTAAAGTAATTATGAATAGTATAAAAACCTCACTCCAGTAAAGACTTATCTATTATCAATAGTGATATAATTTGATCTAAAGTTGATGCCTCTATTATAATAGGCTGGAACATTATCAACTATTCCAGCAACAGCAGGTTCTTTATTACAAAGATTTCCCATAATTTATAGTAATTCTAAAATCCAAAAATTTAATATTAGAGCAATTATTATTTTGTATGATATAAGATGAGTGTTTCTGATGAAATATATTTGATAGAATGTAATTAATTATATATATTGAACATATTTTGTAACTAAATAATATCATAAGAGATAGACAAGAGTACTAATTATAAAAATTATAAATAATTAGTTAAGATGGGAGGAAATTGTTCTAATTGTAATTAATGTCAAAAGGATAGATTAGAGATAATTAATGAAATTGAAGTGACAAAAAAGTCAGATAGTTAAAGAAGAGTATTATCTTCAGTTTCATAACAATCATAAAATAGTTAATTAGATGTTGTAATGAATAGTATTATCTATAGAATGATTTGAAATAGATTAAATGTGCACCAACTGAATAGAAGAATACAAAGTTTTCAGTGTTTGCAGAAGATTAAGAAAAAGATAAAAAGGATGATAAGAATTTGAATCAAAAGGCCGTTGTAATATAAAAAATTTGGAAGGGACACAAAGCTAGATAGAGTTATTAAGAATTGAAGAAATCCTTATCAGAAAAGAATTAAAAAGATGAGTGTAAGAATTAAGAATAACAGTGTGATTAAGTAACAATAGCTAGTAAAGATAAAAAAAAGAATGTTCAATATTTCAATTGTTAAGAGTTTGGAGGTAATATAGATAATATTAATGTATAGTAAGTAACTCAAACAATTAAAAAACACGTGAGAAGCGTCCTTTATTTGTATTTAAGAGTGGAGCTACATATGAAGGTGAATGGATAGGGAATAAAAGAGATGGAAAAGGAGTATAAATATGGCCAGATAGTGCTAGATATGATGGTGAATGGGTAGATAATAAGGCATGTGGGAAAGGATCATTTTATCATGTAGATGGAGATGCTTATATTGGAGAATGGGATGATGATAGAGCAAATGGATATGGAATTTATAAATAAAATAATGGTGCTGTTTATGAAGGGTATTGGAAGAATGATTTATAACATGGAAAGGGTGAAGAGAAATGTAATTGATTAATATATATTTTAGGGATTGATTAATCAAGTTATTAAGGAGATTATTTTGAAGGGAAAAAATAAGGAAAAGGCAAGTATATTTGGCCAGATGGTAGTTATTATGAAGGAGATTGGATTGATAATAGAATCAATGGTTATGTATATATATTAAATGATATTTACTAAGGGAGAGTACTATTGGGCAGATGGAAGAATATTTAAAGGATAATGGAAGGATAATAAAATGCATGGAATAGGATATTATCAATGGGCAGATGGTAGATCTTATTAAGGTTAATATGTGGATGACAAAAAGTAAGGTAATGGGAAATATACATGGCCAGATGGTAGATATTATGATGGTGATTGGTAAGATGGAAAATAACATGGAAAAGGTAAATATGTATTACCTGATGGAAAGATGAAAAATGGAATTTGGGATTAAGGTAGAAGAGTAAATTGGTTGGAAGAATGATATAACTTGATTAATTTGATTAACTAATTAATAATTGTTTTTATTATTAAATCATTTTAACAAATTCCTAGAGATAATGACTTTCATTATTTCATTAGTACCTTCTAATATTTAATGGACTCTTAAATCTCTTACAATTCTATTAATATAATATAAATAATTTTACCTTTCTATTTAATATTCACTTAAATATCCATAACCTCCATGAAGTTATAATGCTTCATTAGCAACATTGAAACAACTATCAGTTGCATATCTTTTTGCCATAGCAGAATACAATGTTTTATCAGGATGATTATTGTCAATCATTTAAGCAGCTTATCTAACAATTAATCTAGATGTAACAAGATTAGTAGCCATATCTGCAAATTTAAATTATAATCCTTAAAATGATGCAAGTGGTTATCCAAATTATTTACGATCTTTAATATAATAAATAATTAATTAATACCATGTAAATAATCTTTAGATAAATCAAATGCAAATGATGCACCACCAAGAGAACATGATGCAATATTAATTCTACCACCATCCAATGCACTCATAGCCATTTTAAATCCATTACCTTCTTTACCAAGTAAATTTGATTAAGGAACACGTACATTATCAAATAATACCATAGATGTAGGTGAAGCATTCCATCCCATTTTATCTTCTAATTTACCAAATGATAATCCTGGAGTTCCTTTTTCAACTATAATGCATGATACATCTTTTTCTGATGTTTTACACATTAATAAATATACATCACTAACAGAACCTCCAGAAATAAAACATTTAGATCCATTAATAACATAATCATTTCCATCCTATTATTAAATATATATATATAATACTTTCTTTGCAAATGTTTTCATATTTTTACTATCACTACCACTATTAGGTTCAGTTAAACAATATGAAGCAAATGCATCAAATGTACTAAAACGAGGAATCCATGTCTTTTTTTATTCTTCATTACCAAATTAATCCACCATATATGCACACATATTTTAAATTGTTAAATATGCTGTTGTTGTTACATCTCCATAAGAGAGTGCCTCAAAAATAACACTTGCTGTCAAACGATCTAACCCAACACCACCTTATCATCATTTTCTAATACTTTACCTGATTCCTATTTTACATATATTGTTGAGAATCCCATTGCTGCCAATTCTCTCAAGACATCTTTTGGAAAATGATGTTTTTTATCCCATTCAGCTGAATATGGTAACATTTTCTCTTTTGAAAAGTCTAATGCTGCTTTCTATATTTAGAGATGTTCTTCATTGAGAAATGTACTGTCACTCATATATTTAAATCCAAATCTTGGAATGTGATTCACCATCAATCTATTACGTATTATTTGCATTTTTAATATCTAGAAAATATTATTAATTACACAATAGTAAATGCACAATTCAGCATTTCTCTTCAGTGTTTTGTAGGACAACCTTCATAAGCTGTATTAAGGGAATATAAATGTTTTGGAATCAATCTAATATTTTCAATTAAAAAACATCAGAACTATTATTGTAGTTGGATAACATAATTACAAATAATATACACAATTTGTTAACTATCATGTATTTTCTATTTTATTTATTTAGAAAGTTGATGAAAATCAAACAGACATCATCAAAATCTTTGATAGAATAACTACACTCATTTCAAATGAAATAAAGCGTTCATCTGTTTTAGTATGTTGTTCTAATGGATTAAATTGGAGTGCTGCTATAATTATAGCCTACTTAATCAAAATTAAATAATGGTAATATGAAAAAGCTTTCTATCATCTTAAATCATTGAAGACATTAGTGAATCCTTCTTTGCCTCTAAAAAAATAACTAATATTATTCAATTCTAAAATTCACAATTAAAAACAAGAGAACTAAGAAAATAATATTAATTATTCTAATCTAATCATTCCTTCCAAATTTTAACAACGAATTATTGAATAGACTTAAAAGTAATAATATTTGGAAGATTCTATTAATTCTTAAGATGATATACAATCCATAGGTTCTTATTAAGGTGGATAAACACCTATATTCTATTCACCAAATAAATAGAGTTTAATCTAAAAACAAAAACAATCCTCTAATCCTAAAAGTCCAGAAAAAAGAATAAGTAGACACATCAGGAATTACACTTTCTAAATTGATGATGCTACTGAACAATAACTTTAAAACAATGAGCAACAAGTTCAAAGTTCTCCTTAATTTAAAAATTAAGAAGAATAATTAATTCTTAGACATAGAAGAAGAAGAATTACTCATAGAACAAAAAGTGCTTTGAATTAAAAATGATTATAATTTTATATTAAATAGTCTAAATGGAAATTATAAAATTACAATATTTGGGATTCACATACATCTTTAGAGATAACTTAGAAGTCTAATAACTGAATTTATTCATAGAATAAAACATAACTAAAGACCCTTATAAAATAAAATGGGTATATTCTGATGAAATATATAATCTTAATAACACTAATTCTATAAATTATCTAAGAGAAATTATTAAAGAAAAAAACATCTAAAAGGTAGTGTTATAAATTGAAGACCAATGATATTGATTATTATTTTATTAATGAAAGTTTAATTTATTTTTGGAAGGATATATAAATCTTAATCATACTTTCTTATCTATAAGACATACAAAACCTTATTAGATAGATATTAAAAATAGATGATTTAGAATTAATATAAGAAATATTATTAAGATTTGAAGCATTGCATTAATTTCAAAAATATAGAATTCTGTTTATATATCTAAGAATGTAATTTTTAGTAATTAATTAATCGACTACAATTATAATAATTCTCATAATTGTATAAATGATATTTTTGGAAAAATAATAATAATTAAGAATAGAATAATCAAAAGAAGAATACTAAATGGAATAAAATTATAGTATTTATGATAATCCTATTCATAATTATTTTGAAGTAAACGTATTCAAATTGTTATTTGGATGTTAATAAAATATTGATTATACTTAGTAAAATAATTAATTTTTCAGAGTAAATAGTAAAAATGAATTGATGATCTTTATTTTATACTAAATTTTTGAAGATATTTAATAAAGATTAAATCATTCAAATGATTTAACAATGTTATAAATAATCATAAACAAATTCTTTTTTAATAGTTAATATTCAAATTATGTATTTAGTTAATTTAGGATAAAAAGTCTGTCCTTTCTTTTTAAGATTCCAATTAGCAATTATGATATCTTCATTTTAACTTTATTTTTTATTTTCTTAATTGTCTGTTATTTGATACAATTGATTATCATCATCTTATAATACACATTCATATTCTCTATCAAATTTACTTATTCCTTATAATGATATGTCCTATTTGGGATCAAAAGATAATAAAGGAGAATCTGGATTAACTTCTTTCAATTTCTTTTTTAATTCATTTTAAGTCTTCTTACTATATAAAGGTTGGTTAATTTTTTAATTGACTTATATAATTTCTGTATATTGTTATTTTGGAGTATGATGAGTAGAGAAATTTGTATAAATATCTGCAACTACTTAAGTTGAATCCATATAATTTGGTTTTTCATCAATAGAATAAGGATTTCTATTCTCATAATAACTGTTCTATTTTTTCCTAATTTAACGATACCATACTCTCTTATCTGAGAGTAAATGATCATTCAATGCCAAATTTAATTCATACTTTTATCTAAAATCATTTGATCTCTAATATAATGTTTTATCTAAGCTTCTACCTGTTCGATTACCTAATATTAATGATGTATCAATCCTATTTTATTATAACTATTAAAATTGATTGAGAATTCTTTCATCTTTAGTAACAACCATTTTAACTTCCTTTTTCATATTATCAATTAAATCAGATTTTTATTCTTAACGAATTCTATTTTTTAATTTCATCATCTTCAATTGATATAATAGATCCTATTTATTAATTAATTCAGGTTATATTTAATTGGGTTTCTTCTTTTTTGGTTCAATTAAGACTCTTTCTTATTTTATTTTATTTTCTAACTTCATTAATCCTAATTAAGGTTTTATTGATTAATAGAACTTTTCAAATCTAGATGGTTCAACATTCTATATCTAACTCTAATCACAAGATTAAGTTTTCATCTCTGATAGTTTTTTTAAAGAAAACTTAGGACCAACTAAATCTCTATCAGACATAGGACTTTTATTCTTCATAATGTCAATTATGGGATCTTAAAAGATATTCTTTTATGTGTATTTCTCAATAGTGGTAGGAGTTGCCAAATAATACATATAATTAAATAATAATCATATGAATTAATTTTAAAAATGTCCAGATGAAAACTTTGAGTTTAATGATCCAGATTATCTAATTCTTGCTAACACTTCTGAACTTGTTTATGTATTCATATTCATATCTGTATCTCTATTAAACTCTTTACGAACATTTTTCTCTATTATTATATTAATTATATTTTACCTTTTGAATTTTGTTAACCTCCTCCTAATTTTTGTTTTTCAAGTCTTTCCCTCTCTAATTTTTCTCTATGTTCTTCTGCTAAACTCTTTGATCTAAATTCTTAATCATACCATATCATAAACTCTTTTATTTCTTCAGGATTTCTTTATTTTTAATTTACTTCTCCCAAATATATACTATCTAATTATTAATATTATTAATATTACCATTTTTTGGTTATTATTATTAAATAGGTAAAGTTTATACTTTTTTTCTTTCATTCAAATAACTAGTTAATTTTCTATCTCCACCCTTAGCAAAATTTTCCTCCAAAAATAAGTCCATATCTGATTTTTCATCTAATCTTTTTGGCAATTATTTTTATGGCTCCAACTCTTTAATATTCTTTGTCACTTCTTTCATTTTCTCTGGGGATTCACTTTTGCTAACATTTGAATTATTTGATTCTGGCTCTTAATACTTAATTCCTTTCACTACTTCATCATATAACCCTCTTACATAGTGTTCCAATTTGATTTTTTTATTGACTTTCTTGAATATTGGTGCTTTTTCATTCCCTTAATTTTTAAGTTTAAGTTTATCCATTAATTTATCAAGTTTCTCTTTTACATTTTAATTTTCAATTCCTCCTGTCTCTATTACACATCCATCATCCAATTAAGAAAATAGATCAAAGAATTCTTCAAAATCATCTTAGAATATCTTAATAAATGATTTAAATGCTTTTATCACTTTTTCCCTGTTAATTTTACTCTTGTCCTTCTTACTTTTTTTCTCTTTTTTACTCTATTATTTTTCTTCTCTTAACAAAGACTATGCTTTTTGTTCAACCTTTTGAATTTTCTTTAACTATTTTTATTTGTCACTAGAATCATGTCTTTTCTAATGTTTATTATCTTAAGACTCCATAAATTAATTTTATTATAAAATGCATTAATTAATATTACTAACAAAAAATTCTTATGTTATCTTAAATTATATTATATCCATTTTCATTATTAATGTAGACAATGCCATTTAAAGTTGCTTTTTTAATCAAATTTTATACTTAAATACTTAAATTATTATGATAATTATGAATTTATTTATTACTAAAAGTAGATTTAAACTAAAGTCTATATTAATTATTATTTAATAATCTTACTATTTGGCATCTTTATTTATAAAGTCAATAAGAATTTCAAATTTTTGTTGCCCTCTCTTAGAAAAGTTCATATTACTAATTAATATGATATATAATTTTTACATTATCATCTCATTTTTATCAATAAGAGTTTTTTTTAATATTTTTAACTAAGAATAATGAATAAACTTTATAGATCATAGATTTATTAAATAGAAATTGATTTTCAAAATTTTTTAATGAGATTTCAATTTATACTATAACAAAAATAAATTGACATTCTTATCTTAAATTCTGTAATATTGAATCTTTATCTATTTCAATTATAATTCCATCAAAATTAAATAATGATTTATAATAGCCTAAAATTGAACCAAAAATCATATTTGAGAAATAATATAAATTTATAATAAAGAAACTAAATACAGTCTATTATGAATATAACTCTTTTCATTATAAAGGTTTATTTTCTATTAAAGTTATAATATATATATATATATATATTTCGTTTGATTAAATGAAAATGGGCTCAAGTTCCGGAATAGGACTCTAACCCACAACCAATTATATTGGTTTAAACTTGGAATTTAACCTAGCCAAAAGGCCGAGTGATTACTTTCGTAATGTTATTTTTTTTTTCATATAATTCTTTATATATATTTTCGTTATTTAAAAAATTATGGGTTTATACAAATACTATTAGCTCGGCAAACAAAATTTATAATTTTAAGATAACCCATAATTTAACAATTTATATTAACCAATAAATAAATATCTAATAGATAAGTTTACTCACTTACCAAATTAAGTTTTATAAACTATCCAAGTTTAAACCAATATAATTGGTTGTGGGTTAGAGTCCTATTCCGGAACTTGAGCCCATTTTCATTTAATCAAACGAAATATATATATATATTATAACTTTAATAGAAATTATCAGGTAAAAATAATTTACAATATATATAACAGATTATTTATAGAAAACAATTTTTAATAGAGTAACTAAAAGAAAACAATATTTATTTAATAAAAAATTAAATATCATGAATGGTCTTAAAAACCATTTAGATTTATCAATAGGCCTGAGAATAAACTACTCATCAAAAATGATGTTATTATATAACTAATTCATAAAAAAAAATAATGCGCTCAAAGGTTTTCAAATATTTAAAGATCTTTGTAATCAAAATTTTGATGCAATTATATTGAGATTAATAAATTTAAAAATCTCAAAATAATTGTTCTAAATCATAATAACTTTACAAATATTAAAAGCAATTATAATTATAAATCAATGAAATTTGGTACTTAAAAACCATTGATAAACATTATATTATACTTATGAGACTAATATAATTTAAATATATAATTTAAAAAATCAGGTTATCATCTAATTCTTTTTATAAAATGATTTAAAAATTCCAACTAACAATATAGATGCAGTAATTCCGATTGCAGGATATATTATCAAAGGGTTTTTATACAATGGAATATCATCAGACGAGGTTTAATCAGAATTTTTATGTATAGGAGAAACTTTTGTAAAATTTTTTTGATCAGTCGTATCGTCATTTCTATGTAATGGAGATTCTTATTAGTCTTCATTCTTTGTTTCCGCTTTATATGAAGATTCTGCCTTGTCATCAGTCGATATTCTTATAAATTATAAAGATTCTTTTTAATCTAAAGTCTATGTTGTTGTAATTAAATGATTCTCTTTTTAATTTAAAGTCTATGTTGTTGTAATTAAATGATGTTCTTTATAATTTAAAGTCTATGTTGTTGTAATTAAATGATGTTCTTTTTCTTTAGGTTATGGAGGTATTTCTTAGTCATTTTTCTATGTTCCCCCTGACAATGAAGATTCTCCTTATTCTTAAGATGATATTGTATTAACTTATGAAGATTCTCCTTATTCTTAAGATGATGTTGTAATAACTTATGAAGATTCTCTTTATTGTAAAGACCAAAAATGTCTCTGCTATGGAGATTCTTATTAGTCTTAATTCTATGTTACCACTTATTATGAAGATTCTGCCTAGTCTGATGTCGATATTATTATAAATTATAAAGATTCTTTTTAATCTTAAGCCAATGTTGTTGTAATTAAATGATGTTCTTTTTAATCTTAAGTCTATGTTATTGAAATTAAATGATTCTCTTTTTAATCTAAAGTCTATGTTGTTGTAATTAAATGATTCTCTTTTTAATTTAAAGTCTATGTTGTTGTAATTAAATGATGTTCTTTTTAATCTTAAGTCAATACTATTGTATTTAAATTATGTTCTTTTTAATCTAAAGTCTATGTTATTGTATTTAAATGATTTTCTTTTTAATCTTAAGTTTATGTCACTGTATTTAAGTATTCTTCATCATTATTTAAAGAATCTTTTATTTTGGATATATTCTCAACAGCCTTATATTGAAAATTTGAGATAAAATTGCTTGCTAACTGTGAAGTTCCACAACTAATCAAAGGTAATAAAATTTATTATTCTGCCAAACAGTATAATTATTAAGTTAATTATTCAGAAATATCTTCAATGATTTTTTCTATAAATTTGTCTTCTTATTAACTTTCAAGTTTTTATTCATTTTCTGATAAATATCTTAAGAAATCTTATACTTATTTAGGAGTTTAATTTTCAATTAAAACTTATTTTAATTCGTCAGTAAGTTGATAATATGTATTTTACTCGATATTATCTTAAACTTAAAGAATTTCACCCAATTTTTAATTTAAATCTGTTAAGGATTCATTAACTCTTGCTTAGTTTTCTATTAAAGGTTTGTTACTAATCCATTTTTAGTATAAACATTAGAGATTATATTCTGTTTTAGCAAATAAAATCAATTAGGATTTGAATTCAGTATGCAAATAATCAATTAATTTTTTTTATTATAAAATTATCAATACTTCTTAAATAAATTTACAACATAAAGAGTAAATCCAGCTTCCAAATCCTCCTTCCTAATGGACTGAAAATTTTATTATGAAATTTTCAAGATAACTAGTAAAAGTATTTACTAACCTAATTATTTTTAAGACTTTCGAAATATATTTATTTATATCCTCAACCAAGTTTCTTTTTTAGATTTAATTTAAAACTTAAATTTTTCTAAGAAGTTTAATTGTATCTTTTTAAGAAAATTTTTCTTAAATCATTTTATAAAGAAATTACTACAATTAAGACTTAGTATTTTCAAGTGTTGCTGAAAACATTTTGGTAAGAATTAGATTACATCCTTTAAGGGCTAATGACTAAAAAGATTATTTCCATGTTTCATGAAAAATCGATTTTATTTTTAACATTTTTATGCTTTATTTTTAGTCTATAATTTGAAAGAAATCCTTAGTTTTGCTGGTATCCCTAATTATTTTCAATCCAAAAGTGAGAGTAGTGCATAATATGCTGGCTATCTTTTAATAACAGTAATCAGCCCAAGAGAATTCTCTTTTATAGTATGATGTTATTAGAATAATGAGATCTGAAACTCCTTCTTAAAGAATCATATTCCCAACAATACCTCCAAGTCCAGTTGTCATTAATAGACCTCCAACTATCAATTAGGAAAAGGCTACTGTACCAAGAAATAACATGTTATAAAATGGAATAAACTTATTTTCATTTAAAATAATGATATCTTTAATTCCTCTTGCTTCAAAATCCTAATATTCTTGTAAATCATCTAAATTTTTTGTTAAATTATATTCCTTTATTTTTTTCCTATTGACTATTTTGACACTTTTTAATTATATATCAGCTTATTCAATATATTTACGAGTTTACTCTTAATTTAGACAATTAAAAATCAATTAAAATTCTAATTAGAATTTTCTTAATTATTATATTAGTATTTTACTCCACATAATATTTTCTGTTCTAAATCTTACATTAACTAATTTATTCCCTTCAAAAGAATAGAAGCTATTTATTTTATTAAATTATAAATTGAATTTAGCCGTATCTTTACAAATATTCAATATTTTTAGAATGTTTTCTTTTTCAATATTTGGAATTGATATAGTTTAAATATTATATTTATTTTCGATCTATTCAAATAATTATTAAGCTTATTTCTTATTATATAACATTTGTAATTGTTTGTTGAGATGTTTCAATTTAATTAAATATTCTTATTTAATTATCTAAGAAATATCTTCAATATCACATGTTATCACAAGATTAATTGATTCATAATTGATAATTTCTAATTCTTTTTTAACTTTTTCTTTATCCAAATCTATAATTTCAATATCCATCTTAATATTTTCTTGTAAATCAGTTTACCATTATTTTGTCTCTTCACTCATAAAGATTATATCCATTAAAATTTCATTATCTATATTATTAACTATTTCTATTGCATCTTAAATAGATTTTGCTTCATAATTTTATTAAGGTGTTTTTAGAAGTATATGTTTTTGTACTTTTTTTTAATCTTTTAAAATTTATAATACAAATTCTTTATAAAGTCCCATATTTATATCTCTTTTATAAAATAATAAATTTAGTTTGGATACAGAAATTTCATTTAATTGTAAAGTGATTTAATTTTCGATTAATTAATCTTTATCACAAATCTATTCAATAGTCTTTATTGCAGAATCTTAATCAATGTAGTCTTCATAATAAGATAGATCATTAAATATCAATTAAATATTATTTGATTTTATAGAAGAACATAATTTAATAGCTTCCTTCTTTTCTAAGCCAAGATGAATTAACTTTATTTAGATTTCTTTTTAATTACCATTTTCTTCTTTATTAACAATATTTATTAATCTTTAAGATTTTTTAATTACTTTAATATTTGCTTCTATACTATTTGCACAAGTTTCAATAATTTAAAGTTTTTTTATAATTTATTATTATAAATCACTATCTTGAAAATTCTTCAAATATTTGGATAAACTCACATTTAAACTCTACCATGTTATAAATTCTTTATTTAATAATTCAGCTGTCTTTTATAAATAGTTCAATGCTTTATTTTTATCTTAAATATCTGTTTAAAGATAAAGGTAGGCTAATTCTTAATAAATAATAGCTAATTGATCACCATCAACTTTTATGATGGCATTTAAAGCATTTATTTTATCTTATATTTGTGTTTATTTTTTAAGTTGAGATTGTTAAATATCTATTTTATAATAAGGATTGCATATTATTTCTTTCTTTTCACAAAGGTTATTCACATGATCTTCAAATTCTTTAAACTTATCATCTGTATTTTCTTAAATAACTTAATTCTACATTAGAAATACTGCCCATTTTTCTTCAATATTTAAATTTGTATAATGTCTCTCTAATTAATTTAATTAGTTTTAAGATTAAATAATTTATCTTTATTGATTTAAAAGATTACAAAACTTTTCAAAATACATCTCTTTTTTTTCTATTTATTTTAAATTATAATCCATATACTCTTATAATCTTTTAGCTTCAAATTCATTCCTTTTTTTCTTTAATTCTGAATAATCTATTTAATCATCAATTAAATGTTTAATATTACATTAATTTAAAATAATTTATCCTGTCCCTTTATTGGCTAATCTAGCAGTTCTGCCAAATGCTTATTCTTCAATTCTTTAATTAGTAGGCATGAATGTTAATATTACATGTAATCCTCCATATTCTTCAATATTATTTGTCTTGATATCAGTGCCTCTACCTGCAAGATTTGTAGCAACAAATATTTGATGTGGATAAATCATTTCAATATCCTTTTCCAAAAATTTATTATTCATATCATAAAGTTTGATATTACCTTTATTATATTTCAATTATAATTTTTCTTAAATTTTATGAGCATCTAATATAGTTTCACATATAATTAGAACACCTCTTTTTTTATTGCATTCACTAATAGCTGATTAAATGATTTCTCGCAACCATTTTTTATTATTATCTACAACAACTAATTGTAATTCCTTAAATAATTTATAGTTATTTTAAGGAATAAAAACTAAATTAACACCATAAACTTAATTTAACATTTCTTAAGCTTTTTCCGAACCTAATGTACCTGTTAAACCAAATAATCTTTTATTGTATTTTTTAAAATATCCAACATTAGATAAAAAATTTGTTAAGAAAGTTTCAGATGTAATTTTAAGATTATGTTTTATTTATAAAAATTAATGTAATCCATTTCCCCAATAAGTAGAATTCTAAATTATTCCTGTATTTTAATAATCAACTGGTTTTATTTAGCCATCACTAATAATATAATGAATATTTTCTTAAAATTTAATTGCTTATAAAGCATTACATATCCAATTAGGTAATTAAAGTTTTAAATATTATTTAAAATAATTAGGTAGAATGATGATTTGATTTTCATAGACTATCCATTTAATATATTATTCTATATCTATTTTTATAAAATCATCTAAATTATCAATAATTTCTCCTATTTCTTTTGGAATAGGTAATTAGTTCTTCAAAATAAACTATTCTAAATCTTCAATGATTTATATATTTCCATCTGATTTCTAAATTTATAGACTTAACTTATTTTCATTTTTTACAATTTTTTCATGAAAGTAATAATATTTCGAATCAATTTTAACTATTTATTCATCAAGTAATTTAATTCTTTACCAAATAAATAAATATATAGGTTAAAAATGACATATACCAGCAACTGTAGTGGATAATCTAGCAAATTTTGAACTCTCATCTATAAGCATACTATCAACTTCATCAACAATAGCTATCTCCATTTTTCTGTCACCCATTGTATTTAATTAATTATGATGATGTCTTAGATAATCAAATTAAAATTAGGATACATCACCATAAACAATATCTTTTTTATAACATTATTTAACATTTTTAATGTATTTTGATTTGTCACAATTATCACTACATTCAAGACCAAAATACTTATATAGATTTGCCATCTTTTTTGAATCTCTCTCTGCTAAAACAGGAGAACTGGTGTGAATATTTATTGCAAATCCTTATAATCCATAAAATATGGCGATGATACATATTATAATGGATTTACCTTCACCAGTACTTACTTATAATAATACTCCTTCATCCTATCCTTACAATAAAATTATCAAAGCACTCATAATTTATGAGTAAGTTAAATTCAATTATTAGTAAATAAAAATAGCTTATTTGATCACAGCTATTGATTCAACTATAAATCTTATATTTTTGAAATTCTCTTTTTATTATTATTTTACATCGTTAGCCCATTTTTATATATGTTTCTTTTTCCAATCTGATATTTCTTAACCCTTTTCCTTTATTTAGTTAATCATATTCATATAAAAATCTTTATTAATTATTAATTTTTTATTTATTTATTTCAATTCATCTACTAATATTTATATATCTTTTGCTCCAGCTTTATTTTAAATATCTTTCAAAGCTAAATTATATACTTAATTATTCCAATTATGATATTCATCATTATCTAAGATACTTATTATATCTTTATCTGGTTAAACTTTATAATAATAAAGAGTCTTGAACAATTAAACTATAGATTTCTCTTTCTTTGAATCTAAATTCAATGGCTAAACTTTATCAAGAATTTCTATCTATTTTTTAAAAGTCCAACCTTTAATAAGTAATTATTTGATAATATTCTTTAATAATTTGTCATCTTAATATTTTGGAAATCTAAGAATTATAATTTAAATTTCAAAATATTATTTTAATTCCTTTACTGTATATTATTGTTCAGACTTCTAAATAATACATTTATATTTTATAATAAACTCTAAGAGACTTTAAAATTCTTGAAAATTGTCGATCTCTTTTAATTATTCAAAAAAATAAGCAGATTATTCACAATTTAATTACTCATAATTACTTATAAGGCTTGTCAAAATTTAAATATATGGACTATTTAAAAGTTGTATATTTATCTTTTTAATTATCATCTAATTTAACCATTCTTATCTCAATTTTAACCATTATAATTTTACCTTAATTTATTTACTATTATAGATAATATTTTATTTCAATAATTAAGTTATATTTTCTAATCCTATTGTTTTGATAAAAATAATTAAATCTTTAAATTCAATTTAACTCATTCCTTCAATTTAAATAATTGTTTTTAAAAATTAAGTATAATATTTTTGATTTTTTTCATCCTAATTAATAATATTTTTGATTTAAATCATTTAACATCCTGTATTTTTTATTTCAAAACCATTTTCAAGTAATCCTATATTCCAATCTTCACAATTGATAAAAGTTTTAGCTAAATCATACTATTATAAATAATTTATGGTTTCAAGTAGATCGTCGTCTCTATCAATTGGCATTTTAATTTGTTCTAATACTTTTATTATTATATCACAAAATTCATTAAAAAATTTAGAATTAAATCCTTTTTCCTTAGCAATTCGTAATCCTTTAAAACAAAAATTACTAATAATTACAGATTTATTTATCAGATTGACCTCTAGAAATTTCACCCAACTTTATTACAAATTATCACCAAATTAACAAGCACAATAAATACATTCACTTAAAGCTAAATTCTATATTTCTTTGTTCAATAAACAATCTATACAATTTTGAAGATTCTAATACTTTTTTTATTCTATAATCTTTGTATATGCTATAATTATTTTATTTGTTATTTTGATATCATTTAGTTAAATTAATGCTTCTATTTAATTTACTATATCTTCATTAAAAATTAATTAATTCAACACAAATTTAGATAAAATTTTTGAATAAATATAAATCTAATCTTTTTATAACTTTCCTAATTAGAATGTATTACAAAATAATTTTATTCTTTATTCTGAAAATATAAATCCTAATTTCATAGACTTATTGATTCTTTTAAGTAAATCAATTGAGCACTCATAGGGTATTTTTTTATCTAATTATTCAATTATTTTCAATTTATCATTTAATATTTCATTTCCTTTTGATGAAAATAAGGCACATTCTAATTGATCTGAATAATTATCAATTAAAAATGTTAAAATAGTATTTGGAAATGATTTTGTAGATTAAGCTATTTGATTGAGAAGTTTAAAACATTGAGATGCCTAATCTTTGTATGAAATAAACATCACAATATTTTATATTATATTATCTGGTATTTAATCTTTATTTTTGCAATTATTTAATAAAGAAATAGCTAATTATAAAAGTTCATGATCCTTACATTCTTATAAAATTTAATTAATTTAATCTAAAGTTTCAGGTAATAATTCAATCTATTCATTAATATCATTTAAAGTTAACAAATTATTTTTATTATTAGTATTCAAATCCTAAGTCAATAAAAATTAATTGATAAATTAAGTTGTTTATGCATCAAGTTCACATAATTTTAATATTTTACTAATTTTTATTTTTATTTCATATTTGATTTCTTTTTATTTTATTAATATTATTAATATTGATTATAATTATGTGTCTAATATATTTTGACGTAATTGTATATCATTAATAATTTTTAAACATAAAGGAATTAAAATTTATTTAGATATCTAAAGTTTTGATATTAAAACTTAAATAACTAAATTAAGATGTTAAGCATCTTAATAAAATATATTATTGGCATTAATTTTAGTATTGATTGCTTAGAGCAGACTAAATTCTAAATTTATATCATTTGTATTTTATATATGCATACATAATCTTTCAATTAATTATGTGGAAAATAATTTACAATTTTAACTAGGAATTGCAAAAAATTAAACTATCAATTAAGTAATAGTTTAATTATCTAACATTTCTTCTAATTTAAGTATAAGTTCTTCAGAAAATTCTTAATTATTCTTTACCATATTAATAAATATACGTATAATATTTTCATTAATATCTTAATTATTCAATTTTTTCTAAAGTTTATCAACAACTGAGTTTGGAATGATTTAATTATTACTAGATACACATTCTAATATTTTAATTACAGTATCATTTAATTCATCTAATGTATTTTCAATAATTTAAAATATATTGTTTGATATTACTTAACCTTCTTATACTTTTTAATATATATAGTTTATTGCATGATTATAATCATTAGATTTCTATTTAATTGCTTATCCAGCTCTTTCTAATTATATAGATGTAAATATATTTTCAGATAATGAATGATTCATTTCTACTATTTCTAAAATTTCATAATATTTATCAGAACCCTCTTCCATGTTTGATATTTTATCAATAAATTTTTATAATGTAGTATCACTAACAATTTAACCCATACGAATAACTTATTCTAAAATCACTAAGCATTTTTATTATATATCTGATTTATTTAATTAGATTTCAAGTACTACTACTAATCTATCTGGTATTTTTTAATATTTTGTATAACCTATAAGAATTTCAATAATTTTATTTTAGATTTATAAATCCTGAATCAAAATATTTTCAAATTAAATCATAAATTCTATTGGTATATTTTATTTTTTTTATGTTTAATTATTTAAGATTGTTAATATATTTTATTAAATTTATTAGTATTCTTTATTTTCAGAATAATCATCTAAATGACAAATCTAAGTTAAAATATCAATATATTTAAATTCAATAGCCTCATTAATTTACTTTATCAAAATAGCTTTTGTATACACAAGTGCATAAATAAATGATTATCCCTTTTAATCATTAAAAATATCAAAAAAATGCAAAATTAATTTATCATAATTCTCTTTTGAAATATCTTAGTCAATTTCAGCTAATATTTTTGCAGTTTACAATGTTAAATTATTATCTTAATCCTTTAGATTTGATATCAAGTAATCGATTGTTATTTATGAAAGTTAGATATGATATTGTGATACTTAATTATAAATAATTTCAGTAACAATTAAAGAAATACTTGGATTATTAGTATCATTATCTTCAATAATCATTCCTTTTGGATTTATCTTTTAAGAAACTTTTAATTTTTGTATTAAACAGTCAGAAATTTTTATTTTAAATTTTGAGCCTTTTTTAAATGTAGTTACTAAACTTAAAATAATTAAGTGTTATAATTAATCTTCAAATTTAGATAAATTATCAATAAGCTTATTGTATTTATTTTCTTAATGATCTTGATTCTTTTTTAAAAAATATATAATAGATTTAAGTAAGTAAAATTTGTATTATAAATCTGAGTCTTAATATTTAAAAAAAAGATCGAATAATCTTTCAAAATCATTTTCATTAATATTTAACTTCTCATAACTTAAAAAAATGCTAACAATTTCAGTTAATTTCTTCTTAATTTCATTTTCTTTTTATATTGTATCAGATGTAATCTTACCAATTATCATCTCTATATTAGCCCCTAATAAGCGTTCTGCATTTTCAATTGTTAAAGTCTGACTGAGTATATATTCAATTCCTTCAAATTAATTCTTTTCTATTTTTTTCATACAAACATTAAACACATCTTGAGAATTATTCTTATTAGTTAAACAGTAAATCTTTAAAGCAACTACACGAAATTCAAAATTTTATTCATCAAGATATTAAAGGCTTTCAATAAATTTTATTTTTGTATCATTTAAGACAATTAAATTGTTGGAAACAAGATTGTGAATAATTTAAATAGCACATACTCTTAATTTTTAAAATTCAGATAACATAATTTCAATTACTTTTTCAACAACTATGCTATTTTTATCTCCAAAACAGCTTAATGAACTATTACCGATTAAACCAGTATGATTAATAGAAAATTTAGTATGAAATTGATCAAAGTCAAAGAATACCTTTAGAATCTTTTTAACAAATTCTTCAATTGAATCCAAATTTTCTATTTTTATTTCACTTCTGTGAATTGAATTAACATAAATATCATCAGATAAATCTTATAAGAAAAACTTTTTAACAGTATTAATCTCCTCACATAATTAAAAGACTTTATTAATAGTTTAATCATTTAATGATTAGCTTTCAGAGATAATTCTAAATATTTATATTATCATTCGATCACATAAATATTCACCAAGAATTCCATTTGAAAAATATTTTGATCCAAATAATTTATCTGGTAAATATCTATCTTTAAGGTCATCTTAAATCTTTTTATGTTATTATGCATATTTATATATCTATTTTATAGTATCATAAGTATTATTAAAAAAAGTATTTGGAACATTATTTTTTTTTAATTCTATTTATCTATTGTCTATGACATTATTAGAAACTTCAACCAATTCATTTGCTATAATATTCTCCTGATTCTAATTAATTGTAGTTATTTATTAACTATCATCAAAATCATAAAGTATTTCATAATTATCATGACGTTCATATGTTAATATTACATGACTAAAAAAACCTTGTTATTCTTATAAAATATTTTATTCTAAATTCGAAGAATCTTCTTTAATTTATGGATTAGAGATATTTTTCAGTTTAATAAGATATTATCTTATCTATAAATCTAGATCATTAAAATTTAAAATCTTATTTATATATTCCTCCTTTAACTATTTTTATTATTGAATTATAGACAATATTTTAACTAATTCATATAATGAATCTTTATTCCTAATCACACTAAAGATATCAATGAGCTTTTCAATTTAAATGTTTGATCCCTTTATAATAGATTATCTTAATATTTGACAGCATGTAAGTATTTATTGTTAATCCTATTTTTTATCTTAAAGATAATTAAGTATATCATTTAGATATTCATCTGGAATTTGTATTTTATGTGATATATGCAATAATTCTTTAAGAATATTTCTTAATGAATTATGATTTGTATAATATTATTCAATTTCACTTAATACTTCTTATTTATCAAAACTCTTGTAATGTTATAAATTCACCTTCTCATTTTTCTAATCATTCTGTTCACTTATTAATTATTTTTCATTATTTATTTGATCTGCTTCTAAAATTTAATTTTAAATCATCCACAAAAATTCTACAAAAATAAATATAATAAATTTATATAATAATTGTTTTAAATAAATGCTACTTGATACTTTAAATATAAATCAGAAAGTTTCAGATAATATCAATTTTTATCTACAATTTGTATTAAGATAAGTATTACATAATTAATAATACATTAAAATAGATATTACTATATCTACTAAATATAATTTACACAAATAGCCATTTATTTCATAAATAATTATTATAAATAATTATTATTAATAAGTATAATTAATAAGTATTATTAATAAATCGATAAAACAATAAATATATATATATATATATTTACAATAAATCAATCCCATTTATAATTTTATGATCTTCCTTCTTTTTTATATATTTCAGCTTCTTCTTACTTTTACTTTTTTTATTCAAATTCAAGTTATGATAATGGTGTCAAACCTCTTTTTTCGTAATTTTATAATCTACGTTCTGCTGCCTATGCAATTAAATCCTAATTTATGTAAGAATTGATAAACATTTTAACTAAGTTCATGATTAGAATCACCTCCAATAAGTCTATTTGATTATTCTATTGATATCATATAATGATTACTATTATAACGATTATATTCTTCATAATTAGAAGGATTCTTAGTTTCAGATTGAATAAGACATCCCATAATTTAAAATTAATAATAATAATCAATTTTATTCATGATTTCCTACTTGTACTTCTAGATTGCTAATTCTTAAATGAAGCTCATTTAATTTAATGGCTAGAGCAGTTTTTTCACCTTTTAGATGTGTTAGTTAAGTTTAAATTCTTGAATTTTCTGCTAATTGATATCCAACTTCTCTTTTCAATTCATCATCTAAATGACTTATAGATATATATGATATTACATTAATTCATTTTAAAGTGTTTTGAGCATATCTTCAGTTTTATTAGATAAGATGGATTCAAATTCATCTTTAAGTTATTTTAATGATTAATATTCCTTTCTATGAATTTCAACAGAATCAGCTACTTCATACATAAGTGATTCTAATGATGATATCTTACCTTTTAAGGAAGCATTATTTTATGAATTATCAGTTGAATTAGAAGTAATGCTAAATGAACTATAATGTGTTTTTTACATTTTAATATATAATGATAATAATCATCTTCTCTTTTGTAATGATTTCATATATCTAACAAATTGTTTTTCTCTTATGGTTCCATTGCCCTCAGAATCACAACTTTAAATAATACTTAATAATTGTTCATCCTTTAGATTTTCATTACATTCTGAAGACAATTCTCTTAAATCATCTATTGTTATATAACCTTATTAAAATAAAAGTAATATTACCTTTATAATCTTAATCAATCTAATAGAAAACATTTATAAAATCTTCATCTGTATCTTTTTCACCAGGATGTGTAGACATCATTCTAACAAATTCTCTAAATTCAATAATACCACTTTAATCAGAATCAAAATCTGCAATCATTTGATATAAGATTTATTTTTTAGGTTGATATTTACCAACCATTAAAAATGCTTTTCTTAAATCCATAGGTTATATAACACCATTATTATTTGAATCTAAAAAATCAAAGATTTCATTTATATAAAATTATATCTCTTTTTGTAGTTGTAGCAGTAATATAATCATTTGGATCAAATTTTGGTTCAGGTGGTATAAATGATTAATGTGAATTAGTTGGACTTAATTATTATGGAGGTGAAACTAATTATTATGTATTTATTTTATTTTAAGGTAAAGATGGAGCTGAAATTGTATTTTTCTTTTTATTCATATTATAATTATTTTATTATTTATATTTCATTATTCTTCTTTTAAATTCATTAATTTAGATTCATCTCCTAAATCAAAATCTTTTAAACTAAAATCACATTTATTTTATCTTCCCATTTCTGAAGTTACACTCTTAGTTGATGTTATAAACTTCATAAACTTATTTTGTCTATCTTTCCTCAATGCAGGTTGTTTAGACTCTTCAATTTATTTGATTAGTTCATATTTAAGGAAACGAGACTCTTTATTAAATTATCATATATTACACTCTTTTTATCACAATTCATTATTGTTATACACTTTATATGTAATCGATTATTAGATTCCTCAATGAAACTATAATAATCTCATAATAACTTACTCAATAACTGATCTTACTAGTACTTCAGAACTAAATGATCTACTTTATTTAATAGGACAATCACATATTAATATGTCTTTATATTGATCATCATTTAATTATGTCAAACTATTAATACTAATATTATAATACCACTCTTTATATCCATTATAATATTAAAATAAATCTTTTTCTGACTTATATAATAATATTATTCTATACCTCAAATGCTCTCACTCTATAATAAGTAATACATTTGTAATTGCTCATTTCTAAATTTTAAGTGTACATATTTTCAAAACCAACTAAAAACGTACTATAATCTACTTACTTTTACATAAATTATCATAAACTTATTATGAATGAGATGATTGTAATGGTATTTTCTCAGGATTTGTATATAAACAAACTTAAATATATGATAAATTAATTACTTACACTCTCTCCTGATTCTTTTGATATATCTCCTAATTTTACAGTTATTTTCACATTCAAATATTCTCGAAATATAACTAATTCATTGTTTAATACATGATATTCTTTGTCTCTAGATAAACAACACATTCCTTCTTAATTACCCATATGATATTATATATATATATAATAAATAATAAAAACACATTATATACAAATATTCATTAGTTAAAATGAATTCTTCTACCCCATTCAAGACTATCCATTAAATTTTAGAATTGTTATTCTGTAATTTCTGTACCTATTTAATTAGACATAGTTCTCTCTCCTTAAATAATATCTTATGCAAGAATCATGTCATCAGAACTTGCATCTACATGATTTTCTTAATCAAACCATGGATGTAAGGGTATTTCTAATAAATAGAATTAATACCTTCTGCAGATAATCTTTAATGAGGATATGGTTTAAGCAATCTCTTAATCAGATCTCTTTAAACTTGATTCAACTTTAAAAATTCTTAAGAATATTGAAATTAAGGGTCCAATGAAGTAATTTATTCTATAGTTTCACTAATGGTTTCAGCATAAAAAGGTAAGGTTTAACATAACATCTGATAGAGTATAATCCCTATCGACCAGATATCAACTTATTATATAACAAAAATAGTATATACCTTTTTCATCATAACCTCCTCCTAAAAAGACTTCTGGAGCCTAATATAAGATGGTTCCAGTAGCAGTCCACATTTCAGTAAACGTGTCTCTATATTTGAATCGTTTGGAGACTCCAAAATCGATTAATTTAATTTAAAGGTTTGGTTCAGTTTAAATTAGAATATTTTCTGGTTTTAAATCTCTATGTGAGATTCCTCTAGAATGAATTTAGCCAATAACCTAAGCTAATTGTTTAATAGTATCTTGTTTCTATCTAAGAGTGAGGTTGCGGTACACTTATTCCAAATTAGGGCTATCACAAAATTCTATCACTTGATAATGATGCTTTGTTTATTGATCAATGAATAAATCATATGTTCTACATACTTATGGGATATCTTGTAATTATCTCTATAAATTGAATGTATGTATAATAGTGTTGACAATTTCTGGATCATCAGTTCTAAAACATTTAACAGCATAAATTTGTATTGATTTAGGCATTAATGATTTAGTACTTCTTTATTTAGGTATTTTATAACATTTTCTAACAACTGAATGTGCTCCTTCACCTATTATAATTTTATTAGTAATACCTATTTTTTCTTATAATACATATGCATCTTTAAATCTTTCAACCGATTATACTTATTCCTATTAAACAATTACATTTTCAATATCAACTGATCTTCTGATTTTGAATCCTTATTTACCAAACAAATGAGTCCTTAAATCATTCCTTATATTTTCCTAATGCATTTTAATATTAGTCAACATATATATAAATCCAATTAAATTAATTATGAATCGTCTTCACAATGGTGTGATTGGATTAGCATTGAAAAACTCCTTTTTCTTTAGTACAGCTAAAAAGGCAAAGATGGAATTGACAGTCAGAACTCCATATAAAACTATCATTGATAAGTTTGATGGTTTCTCAAGGATTGTTGCTAAGACTAATGAAGTACTTTCTCAATCAAATTTAGGCTGCACTTATCATATAAAATCGTACCCCTGCTGCAGTCTATATTTTACCACCTGGACCTTTGAAAATTAAATTTACTTAAGATGTAAAAGGAATAACAGGAGATTTCTTACATTTGGGAGGGTATGTATTTGTCAATCCGTAAAATAATTATTCATTAATTATAGAGATAACACTTGCGAAATCAATTTGTTAGATGTTGTTGATAGAAAAGAAGCAAAAGTAGATCAATTTGATAAAGCAGACGTAAAAGATGCAGATACAGTTGCAGGAAGATATGCTGGAAAAATAAGGAGAGCTGCATAACGTACATTTATTAAAAAAGCAACAGCATGATTTATAATACATAAATAATTATATAATGTATTTGAATTTATATGTATTCTAAAAAATTTCAATTATTCTTGTATGAATTCATTCTCAAATAATAAGATCTCATAGAATAATAATTAACATTTTTGGTATTCATAAAATATTTATTCATGAAGAATAAGAGCATAATATGTCATCCATATAATTTTATTAAAATATACAGATGTCAAAAGTTAGTAATTTGAAAATCAATATACTTTTTTAAGAATTTTTTGTGTTTAAAAAACTCCTTTAGACATTTTTACAGGTATTTATTATATACATAATTTCTTAATAAGTATTTTAATTATTCAATAATAATAATCAAAGCAATAAAATATCGAAATTTGAGATTTCAATAAAACTATTGTTACTTATGGCAAAACGTTTTATTAAAACAATAATGATAAATTAATACAATTTGAGAGGATGATTGATTTGAGAATTTGATTTTAAGAATGATTTTACAATAGTATTTTATTAATTGGTGAATGATATTTTTATATATATTATTTTGAAAAACGAATATTGATGATATTTTGGAATAGATTAATGTCATGGATACCTGCTATAATTCTACTAGGCATCTTAATATTCATATATAGTATATATTTTATGGTAATTTCCATCCTTAATTATACTAGTACAACATTCAACCTAATTTCGATGGATTCAATTTAGGAATAGTAATATAACACTTTATGATATTAATGTTCCTTATATCAATGCTTCGTGCAATGCTTTTAGAACCAGGAGCTATATGTCAAGTAATTTTATGTAACAATATTGAGGAACTTATTGATGAAACATGGAGATAATGGGATGAATATTAATAATAAGAGAAAGAGAGGATGACTGAATAAAGACAAAGGAGAAGTCAAAGATCAGTAAAAACTTTTAAAACAGAAAATGATGAAGATAGAAGTGTAGTAAATATGGATGCAGATGAAAATTTAGATGATGATTATAATGTCAAAAAGGATATTAATCAAAAAGGTATGGAAAAGAGATTCTGTAAAAAATGTTGTATTCCAAAACCTTTAAGAACACATCATTGTTCTTAATGTAGATGTTGTTGGTAAAGAATGGACCATCATTGCTAATGGATCAATAATTGTGTAGCCAAAGACAATTATAAGATATTCATTTGCATGATCTTTTATGCTAGTAATTTTCCATTATTTTAACAGTAGAGGCTGTCTTTTGGTTTGGGTGTCAATTTCTTAATATAAAGTATTCCTAAATGTGATTGAAACTGATATGCCAGATCTTATACTATTTTTAATTGTGCTCCATTATTATTTCATTCTTTTGATTGCAGTCCTTATAACCGGCTTTTTCATATTCCACTTGTATTTGATATCCCAGAACAAGACTACTTTGGAATAGTTGGAGGACAAACCAGATGTACTACTTAATCATTATTTTAGAGATTAAAATATAATTAAGGAGTATGGTAAAATTTCAAGTCCATAATGGGTTCAAATATTCTATTATGGTTTTTACCAATCAAATGATATTATAATATCATAAAAAACAAATTTAAATAAAGAAACTAAGATAAATTAAATTATTGTCATCTTTAGGTATAAAATCCCAAATCTCTTTCTTGTTAATTTATTAATTTCGTAAGGTTTTATTTTATTTCTAATTTGCGTGATGCCATAGGAGATTTATCCATAGACTTTTTTGAAAGAGATTTCAATAAAATTGATGCAGAACATGTACTTATTCCTTTACCTTAAAAATTAGAAGAACTTGGAACAGAATAAATTGATTATTACTATTTATTCTTAATCTAATAATTCTTAAATAAAATGCTATACTTAATAAACATCCAATTAAACTTTACTTTTTTCTTTTGATTTCCCTTTCTATTATCTTTCAGTTTAACAATTTCTTTATGACATAATTTAATCATATTAGTTTAATAATTGTTGAAAATTGATTTTATTATGAGAAATTTAGGGTATTAATAATTTTGGTATGATAACATTTTTATTATTAAATTAATTTCCATTAATTTTATCATTTTATTTATTAATTAACATTTTCTTTGGTGATAATTTCATCAATTATCGATTTGTAAATTTATTTATATCTTTTATTATCATAGAAATATCTTTATCATTTTATTAATAATATAACTAATTGATAGAATTGGATGTGTTAAGATAGTTCATTTATCTTTTTATAACTGGTTTCATTTTTTAAGAAGATACATTAGAATTAGTATAAATATTATGTTCTGAAGTTTCCCAACTTATTATTTTATTTTCATATTCTTCAATTTCAGATGATAAACTATTAAAAATAACAGAAATACTCAATATTTTAAGTAGTATTGAATAATATTCTATAATTATTGGTGGCTGCCACGTTGTTAACAGGTAATTTTTGTAATTTTTACAGTTTATTGTTACGCTTCTAAACAATTTGATGTGCTGTCACGATTAACAAATTGGGTATTGGAATCTGAGACACAATTGATTGATTATACGCTATAGTACCTTGAATTAAAGTTTATGCATTATTTATTTTTATTCCAATAAATCGTAACATTTTGTTAAATATTCATTATCATCATTGAAATATAACAAATCCTTAAATAAGATAACATGATCAATTTGCAAATTGCCTAATATTTCTGATATTGGTTTGGCAAAATAAAAATTAAAGGCATTATAATACCTATTTTATTAGTAAATTACATACTTCTTCTATAAATTATCAATTTAGAATTATGATAAAGAACTCTAACATAATCTACATTCTTTGTTTTATTTATAATACATAAATTTAATTATTATTATATTCTAACTTAAGTTATATTTATCAAAATTTTATATAAAAAAATGCAATTCATTTTGTAATCCCTTTTGAGAATTTCTAATAAAGCTTTTCAAATGCCTCTTTCCCAAAGAACTTAAATAATTCAACTAAATCTAATTTTTTATCTGTTTTTCTCATAATCCTTCTTATTTCCTTTTCCTCTATTGGTTTAACTAAGGCTTATCTAATTATATTCTCTGCACATCTTATTTTTTAGTCTTGAAAATTAAAAAATGTAGAAAGATCAGCTTCATCTTTAGTCAATAAAGCATCTTTATGAATTGTAACCATTGCCATTATAAGATTTGTATATCCTAATACAGTTCCCTTAATAAAAATATAATCCCAAAATAAAACACAATCTAACAAATCAAATAAGTATACAAATCCACTTAATAAAATCTTACTTATCCAAATTGAAGGAGATATATTATAATTGATAAAATGATCATATACCTTTGGTAATTTAACTTATATTAAATTCATAATAATTTCCTCCATAATGAATAGTAAAGGTAAATCATCTTTAAATAAAAGATTAAACATATAAAAAGAAGAATCAAGTAATTCAGCAAAAACACAAACAGTTTCTTATTCTTTAACTCCTGACACCATCAAAAATAAAGCTATTAAATTAATAAATTAATATGATACCTGCAATGTAATTCATTCCTTGACAATATCCTACTTTAGGATATAAACTAGCTAAATTTGTAAGTACATAATCTAATTTTAAAATAACAGACTCCTCTTTGAATACATCACTAATTAAGGTTCTATTTATGTCTTTCTTAATACAATAAGATGCATCACTTATTTAAGAATCTATTTTTTTATTAATTATGCCTTTTTGTAAAGTGATAACTTTCCAATATGCCCATCTATATTTTTAAGGAAGACCAATTAATCCGTATTATTTAAATTCATATTTCTCTTAAATGAAAAATCTGAACATGTAATATTCATAATCATATTTAATGAGTGGACATTCTTCAAAAAACTATTATATATTTTTAGGAGTTGAAAGTGAATTTCCATAATTTGATGAAGTTCTAGTATGTTCATCATAAACTTTAAATGAATTTAATTTTTCTTCCCACAATTCATCTAATTTAGGATTCTTTCCTACATTTAAGTATTTACCAATTTCATATTAATAAGTAAATGAATGAGATCTATCATCTTACTTTGGTTTTTCTTGTTTATTGAAATCCAATGTCAACCTATTAAAATTAATTTCTGACTTTTCTATTTGTGTACATGAAAATTATCCCATTAATTTAAATAATTATTTATAAATATCTATATGTCTGTATAATAATAAATAACATTACTATAATAAATTAGATGGAATCAAAAAAATTGAGTAAAATTATTGAATTAATATTTCTGTCCATTGCAGTAAGAATAAAATTCTAATATATTAAAGTGGTTATCCGTGATGGCATGTTTAATTAGAACAGATTTTAATTTCCCATTTGCTTTTTTTTGCTATTATTTATGGATATCAAGAGATGACAAAGCTAATTCTTTGATGGTAATCAATTATTATATTTATAATGTAGTTAATGGTTTTGAATGGAATCCTCATCTTAGTAGATTTAATATGGCTTTTATCAGTTGGATCCATTTGGACAGCAACAGAAAAAAATAATCCTGTCTGGGGACACTTGCATGGTCTTCATGTCTTTGTTATATTTATCAGTATTGTAAATGTCTTATTGAAAGTAATTTAATTAATTATATAAATAGGTTGGTGCTATTGCAGCCATCAATTCTTATAGAGGAAATTAAACTTAAGTTGGTAATTCTAATGATATAAATTATAGCTGGTTCATTATAGAATCCACAATAAAGTGGCTTAAATGATGTTTCTTAAAATAGACAAGTCCCTTATGGTTAATATTGATCTAATAAAACATTCAAATTATTATATAATCTTCAAATAATTATTTAATTTAACAGTAAAATTACACATCAATGTCTTTACAAACATAAACCAAATTAATTGGTTCTGATCAACTTTCCTTATTATGTACAGGATTTATTAGGTTTATAGAAGAAGTAATTAAAATCAACACATTCTTAGATTTTTTTACCTATTCCCAAGTAAGATACAAAATAATTTCAATATTGGACCAAGTTTAAGGAAATAATTGATCCAATTAATTAAACCATTGAAATCTCTAAAATTCCTATATTTTTCTAATGTATTTAACAAAATTAGGAAAATTATTCATCTAATTCCATTTCAAAATTATAACCGAAAAACACATAAACTCCGTAAGATAGAATTTGTTATATAAATGATATTTAAATTAAATCTTGTGAATTTGAAATCAAATTGAAAGAAATCACAGAAAGAATTAATAAAACATTCCATCAAAATAATACACATTTAGAAATATTATTAAAGATGCATGATACAACTTAGGATTCAAAATTAAAATTAGAAATAAGTAATTAAGGAACCACATCTATAAATCGAAGGATTGATTTTAAAAGAAGAAATACAGATTATTATTCATTAAAACCAATAAATAGATGAATAATATATAATTACTTATAAATTCAATTCAAATTATTTATTTTTATCATCTGTAATCTTTATTAAATAAAATTATTCTTATTAAGCAACCGATTCTTTATATTTAAATTCTTCTATATTTATATGTAATCAAATATATCAGAATAATTGTTATTCATTACAGAAAATCCTTACATAAATTTATTATCTTCAACTCTTTTTTGAACACCTTGAAATAAAATTGAATCATCTTTTATTTTCAACACTCTTATTAATAATAAATAATTAATTAATAATGAATGTAAAAAATTATATATTACGTAAACTTGTGGGTGACTCTTCAAATACATTGACTATTGAATAAGTGTAGAGAATTTTGGAATCACAAAAGGATGATGATAGAATATTTAGGTAAAATGACATATGCGAAATAGAGCAATTATTAATTCATCATTGTCCAATTAAAAACTATAGATAGCCAATTCTGAATTCCGTATTAATTCTTTAACAGATTTTGGTAAGCTATTATTGAACTAATTGCAATCCAGTTTAGTAAATATATTAATCCATATCATTATATTAGTAATCCATAAAATCAAAGAATTAACTTTTATCTATAGATTAGTTTCCAATAGACATCAATTAATTTAATATTGAAATTTCATAAACTGATTTAATAAAATAATAACTTTAACACATCTATCGATTATTTAAAGCTACTATTAGATAAAATGGTGATGGTTTAAAAGAAATATTAGATTATCTTGCCAATTTAAATTAAGCTGAGTAAATTATAGAATCTTAATATGCATAATAATGTATTCTGAAAGCACCAGAATACATTTAAGGAATAGATGAAATTAATTTATGGTGCTAGAAAAGTACTACTTTATATGAGGCAGTAATCTCTACCAGATAGTTATTACAATAAAGTAAATCCACATCTTTAAAAAAACAATTGTAAATTGTTGATAAATACAAGACTATTTAAAGGATAAAATATACATTAGAAAAATTAATGATTCTAAAATAAACTTTTGGTTAATTAGCTTAAGCAATGAACAAATATGATGATAATGCTTATGAAATCATACCTATAATGAAGGATACACAAAATAATATTAATAAATATAAATTGAATGAATTGAAATTATCATGCATTAGTGATAATTTTTTTGAAAATAAAATTGAATCTTTGAAAGAAAGAATAAAATAAGGAATCTTAGCAAATTTTATGAAATTTGATGAAAAGAAATATTATTCTCTTTTGAAAAGTTATTATTTCATTGAAAAACATTATCAAATGTAATCTTATTTGACTTAAATCTGGGCTTTGGTTAAGAAGAGTATTAGTTTAACATTTAAAAATGCAATTAAATTATTTGAATAATCTTATATCCCACATAAAATCTATCAAAATTGCCAAGACGAAGACTTACTTTAATTCTATAAATTACTATATAGTGAATTGGTAGAACAAATGTTAAATTTTCATTATTGCAATAGGTTCCATTAAGAAAATGATTTTAAAATTGAAGAAGAAAATGGCAATACTTAATTTGAAGAATATACCGAATAGATTAGATAATCATATTTAGAAATGAGATAATTAATATGGGCATAGATTCAAAAGAAGATTGTTAAAATCATCACTGCTCATTAAATCAATATTAAATCATTAGTTATTGAACAATTAATATACTTCTTAGGTTATAATTGCTTATTAATAAAAAGGGCTGAAGATTTTAGCCATTCAGATTCATAACAGTATAATTATTAATACTATTTAGTTTAACTTAATGCATAATTGATGTCTATATGAGCTTTGTTTAATAGTTTCATAAAGCAAATCTCAAATCTATAAGTACATATTTACAAAATGAATTATACTAAAGATTGCCTTTAACAAAGGATTCCAAATTAATTTAATAATTAGAATAATTAACAAATTTAAACTAAGTAAATAAAAAGGTTTTTGAATATTTAATTGAAAAAAGAGAAGAGAATTATCAATAAGAAACTAAGAAAACAGTTGATTTCTAAGATTTGATTAATAATGATAAAGAGATGTAATTATTTTATTTATTTGAATATCAAAATCCTTTTGTACTTTAATAGGACGAATTTGATCTCATTATAAAAGCAATTTGGATTAAAAAGCATACTACTTTATCTACAGGTGTTTTGAATTAAATAGAATCGGTTTTATCATCATCAAGTATTAGAATCTTGGAATTGCTTCCATAATATGCTTTACTCTCCTTTTATCATCCATCATGTCAACAACAAATAATAGCTTGTTTTCTTTAATTGCTAGAACTTTATATGTTTGTTTCATATAATCAATTAGTTGGAATGACTTAATAAAAATAACTATTAGAGAATTTTTCTTAAATAATAAAATTTGATGAAAGTAAAGAAATAGAGTTCTATGTCTAAACTTATGATTCATTTAGCGATAGTTTAGTTCTTTAAGAACGATTTTGTTATTTTAAAAGGTTTGTTTAAAAGTTTTGCAAAGAAGGAATTGATCTCAAAGAAATTGATATATTTTCATCCAAAGAAAAGAGGTAATTTGTTGATATTGCAGAAAGAGCCATAGCTTCAGAATCCTTAGCATATTTACTTTCTTAAACAAAGTCTGTATTTTCTTTAATTGGAATAACTTCATAAAACTTTGAAATTTTTAAGGAAGTCTATAATTAATATAAGGAGTTCATTTATAAAAATTTTGTGTAAACCTATATTAAGATTGATGGAATTGTATAATATGTACCTCAATAAAGGTGGGATCTTAAAGATCTACATAATGAAAATAATAATATATATTTGGATAGGTTGATATAATTTATTCTTGATTAAAGAGAAAGATTAAAGAGCATAGGGGGAGGTGTGATACCACCAAATGCTTAAAAAGATATATTTTCATTTTTGGCAGAACATTGCTTAAATGTGTTATTGGAAACTTATGGGAAGATTAAAAAAGTAACATAATATTTGATTAAAATTAGTTAAATTCAATAGGAAGAGATTAAATGATTTTTGAATATACTACTTGTTGTTAATCAATAGAATCAAGTTAGAAGAATAATAAAGAAGTTGTGCTTAATCCTAAGATTACTTTAATGCAATTGGAATATTTGAAGGTTTTCAATTCCTAATAATACGATGAGATTGATTAGTATATACAAAAATCGAAAGTAAATATGATTTGATAATACCATTAGACTTTAATTCCATTAAGATTGCTATATAATTTGATGAATTCAAGTTCAAGTTATAACAAATTATCAAAATAATAGAGGAAAGATATATCAATAAAATTCTTTAAAGATTATTATGATACATTTAAATTATTTTGAAAATATTTATAAACCAGCAACAACTGAACAATTAGATCATTATAAATTATTATTAATCATGCTTTAATTTTCTTATATCTGACTTTGATTTGCCAAAGATTCTTATGCTGCTTATTACTACTGCAAAGTTTAATTCATTTTATCAATTAAATTCATTTTATTAATATCAACTAAACAAATAGAACATCTTCCAACATTTTTTTATATTTGCATATGATTCTGTATACATTGCTCGTGGAAACAATGTCCACAAAAGATTTCAATAATTATTCCGGTTTAAAATGATTCTAAACAATATGCACATCTGTCTTATTCGAATTTCATTTCATTTTACTTAATCTGATGGATGAGATTTTAAGACTTTAATCTTTCAAATTCAGATAAAACATTAAAATTCCTTCTTCTATGAGGAAAAATTGGTTCGGGATCTAACCATTCAACAAACCTTCTGCCAAATATTCTTATCAAAATAGTTCTAATCAAAGCCATTATCACTATACTCCCAAGTATTGTTAATAGAAGTATGATAATAAATTAAAATAGCTATTGCTAATTTTATTAACTTCTAATTTATATAAAGACAATTAATTACAATTTTTGAATGCTGATAATTTAATAGAATATCTGAGAGAAATCTATATCTGCATCTTCTGTGAATTATAAAGTAATTCTAAATTAATTTGCTCTTATCCTATAATAAAGATTCTTGGTTAATTTGCTCAAATTGTAACATAATATTACATTTATTAGAGAGAATCTATACAAGGGAAGTCATCAAACAGACCAACAGATAAACAAATACTTAAGTCTGCTTTAACTTCTTTTAAAGATAAATTTCCTATTCCTATTTATATTAAGAATTCTGGACCCATTCTTCCTTAAAAATATATTGTACAAAGTTCTCCTTAACCAACATATGATTTCACATTTTAAAAGACAATTCTAGATTCAGCAGAAACATAATATGATTAATTTGGACAATATTTTGGTATTCCACAAATATCATGATTCTTAAATAAATAATTTGTAGCATTATAAAGAGGAACTTCATTAACAATATTACATTTTGGAAAAGTAACATTCATCTAAGGATCCGGATACTCAGATATATTCTTTACTTCTATTTTGCTTCGATCAATTAGTTCAGAATAATTAAATGGTGCTTTTAAGAGTCGTAAGCATTAATTATTTTCCAAATTAAATTAACAACAGTTCTTAAACTCACAAGAATGACACTAAAATTTAAAGGAGATTAATACAGATGTATAAGTATTACAATGAATTTTTTTGCAATATGTTTGTAAACCAATATCAATTTCTTAATTTTCTTCACTTTTATTCTCAGTTGTGTTGACTATATTTCCACAACATAAATCTCTAAATTATTATGAATTCATACATTAATACTAAGGATAACAATAATCTCATAAGTAATATTTATTTATTTTTTTATATAATAAAGAATTTTTGTCAATCCCATTTTAAGAATTATATAAATATGATTATTTAAATAACAATCTAATTCTGTATTTTGTTTTGAAAGTTGATTTATTGAAATATTTTTTATCCTATTTAATAATGTTCGAAGTTACATTTATTACTCAAAAAAATTCGATTTACATTTATATTATAGAGTTTTAGAATGTATTTATAGAAATTTTCTTTACTTGGAAACTTTTTCCAATTCTTATTTAGAAGAAAACATAAATAGGTAATTAAATCTTTTCAAAGACTCTTTAAATATGATATAATTAAATAATATAATAACATAGTGCATATACTCTATATAGATATAGATTTAGAAACTTTGATATATTAGTTTTTAGGAGAATTGATAAATAAATTAATGTATATATACTATAAGTATAATAAAAATAATATGAAATGAAAATAAAATTCATGATTTAAATAGAATGCTAAATTATTTTTAATTGTAACTTTTTAAAGTATTTTTTAAGTCTCCTCAAACTTTTGAGCTTATTCAACGAATTCTATTTAATTATGAATAAAATTTATAGAACATTATGATTCTGATTAATTTGTAATGGTATTTGAAAATATTACTGGAATATTATAATCAAGCTAAATGAACAAAATGTTTTCTTAAGGTTATCTGTTACGAAAATTTGTTTAAATTAAGCAGATTTTAAGCAGCTAAAATGCAGTTTCCTAATTTTTAATATATTCTTATTAGATCACCCAAAATATTACTTAAATTAATTTTCATCTGATTGAAGAATAGAATTACACGATATTTTTAACCCCAGTTTTTTAGAGATCTAAAAAAATTGATAAAAAAATCATCCATTTTTTATATTGCTATCAATTTAATTAAGCAAAACCATTTTTTTCATGTGGTAAAATAGATCCTTAACTTAAAATATTTAGAAGAAGTCATTTATTCTTATAAAATTTAATACAAATCAAAAATGCTTTTAATAAATAATATTTAAGAGCGAAATTATGAGTTGTTACTTTTATTATGTTGATAATATGATTATAAATTTAAGAGATGAATTATTTGTCATAAATTAAAATCATGCAAAATAGTAACTTGAAAAGAAAAATACAGTTATTGTATTTAAATAATATAAACAGTGAATGTGAAAAAGCAGATTAGATTCATTTAGCAAAAATTAATATATATTTAATATCAGAACTCTATGTAAATTATTTGTTAGATTTTTGTATTTAATCTCTGATAATTTAATTAAAAGTATTAAATACATCACTATCTGTTTCTATTTGGTTTATTAGGACTTCAAAAGTAAAGAACAAAAATTATCAATTAGAACACATAGTTGCAAGAGCAAAGAAGATATACAAGAAAATGATTAGAAAATTAAGAATAAAATTCTTATCAAGAAAGTTAAACGAAGCTCGAAAAGGAAATTAACAAATCAATTATAATATAAGTAATATATCTTTTTGGATTAAGGTTGATAAGGGCTCTCAAGCAATCATCAATTCGAGCAGGGATGCATCAAGCCCTTAAGTGATTTGAAATATTCTCTAAATGCAAAAAGATTCTTAAGTAATCAGTAGGTGAGGATATGGTTTTTGAAAATTATAAGCCTTATTTGAACCAGTAATTTCTACTTAACACTACAATGTAAAAATTCTGATCATTAATTATATTTATTTTGGTTAGTAATGAGAATCATTCATAAAATTCAGGTTGTTGTAAGAAATTTTACTATACAATTAAAGCCTTTATAAATCGGAAAAGAAGTTCTATATAAGTTTATACAAAACCATAAGTAGAATAAAATATTAGTGTAAAAATTTAATAATATTCAAACCAAAATCAAATTTTTTNATACTATAAGTATAATAAAAATAATATGAAATGAAAATAAAATTCATGATTTAAATAGAATGCTAAATTATTTTTAATTGTAACTTTTTAAAGTATTTTTTAAGTCTCCTCAAACTTTTGAGCTTATTCAACGAATTCTATTTAATTATGAATAAAATTTATAGAACATTATGATTCTGATTAATTTGTAATGGTATTTGAAAATATTACTGGAATATTATAATCAAGCTAAATGAACAAAATGTTTTCTTAAGGTTATCTGTTACGAAAATTTGTTTAAATTAAGCAGATTTTAAGCAGCTAAAATGCAGTTTCCTAATTTTTAATATATTCTTATTAGATCACCCAAAATATTACTTAAATTAATTTTCATCTGATTGAAGAATAGAATTACACGATATTTTTAACCCCAGTTTTTTAGAGATCTAAAAAAATTGATAAAAAAATCATCCATTTTTTATATTGCTATCAATTTAATTAAGCAAAACCATTTTTTTCATGTGGTAAAATAGATCCTTAACTTAAAATATTTAGAAGAAGTCATTTATTCTTATAAAATTTAATACAAATCAAAAATGCTTTTAATAAATAATATTTAAGAGCGAAATTATGAGTTGTTACTTTTATTATGTTGATAATATGATTATAAATTTAAGAGATGAATTATTTGTCATAAATTAAAATCATGCAAAATAGTAACTTGAAAAGAAAAATACAGTTATTGTATTTAAATAATATAAACAGTGAATGTGAAAAAGCAGATTAGATTCATTTAGCAAAAATTAATATATATTTAATATCAGAACTCTATGTAAATTATTTGTTAGATTTTTGTATTTAATCTCTGATAATTTAATTAAAAGTATTAAATACATCACTATCTGTTTCTATTTGGTTTATTAGGACTTCAAAAGTAAAGAACAAAAATTATCAATTAGAACACATAGTTGCAAGAGCAAAGAAGATATACAAGAAAATGATTAGAAAATTAAGAATAAAATTCTTATCAAGAAAGTTAAACGAAGCTCGAAAAGGAAATTAACAAATCAATTATAATATAAGTAATATATCTTTTTGGATTAAGGTTGATAAGGGCTCTCAAGCAATCATCAATTCGAGCAGGGATGCATCAAGCCCTTAAGTGATTTGAAATATTCTCTAAATGCAAAAAGATTCTTAAGTAATCAGTAGGTGAGGATATGGTTTTTGAAAATTATAAGCCTTATTTGAACCAGTAATTTCTACTTAACACTACAATGTAAAAATTCTGATCATTAATTATATTTATTTTGGTTAGTAATGAGAATCATTCATAAAATTCAGGTTGTTGTAAGAAATTTTACTATACAATTAAAGCCTTTATAAATCGGAAAAGAAGTTCTATATAAGTTTATACAAAACCATAAGTAGAATAAAATATTAGTGTAAAAATTTAATAATATTCAAACCAAAATCAAATTTTTTGTTATTCCTGTAATTAAGTAATGGATGAAGGAGTGTTTTAAATTCATCTGTAAATGTGTGAAGAATAATTCAAAAATTAAAATTTAATTGAACAAGAATGTGAATAATGTGGTAAAATAATTATTAAATTTTACATAAATGATCATTTAGATATTTGTGAAGGTAATTTTTGGATTTAGGTTAAATGTCCATATTGTTCTTTAGCATTCTTAAAAGCTGATTTAAAAAATCATATATCTTAATGTACTACTTTTCAATAATAATAAATCAAAGAACAGTAGGGAGTTGTAAATTGCACAATATGTTTAGAAGATATTGAAGAAAATAAAATATAATTAAATTGTTCTCACTTTTTCCATAAAGATTGCATAAATAATTGGATTTTAAAATAGAATAAATGTCCAGTATGCAAAAAAAGACAAAATATAATATCATGAATTAAAATTAACATTAATTTCAAATAAGTATATGTTTTTAAATAAAATATTGATTTTATAATGTATTAAAGGTCTACCATTTAACTAAAGTATATGTTATTAAGAAATTTAATATTTCGAAGAAAGTATCAGAAGCTGTTAATTTGATTAATAAACTTCTTTATTTTAAGTTTATTATAAATATGAAAATAATTACATTTTATACCACTTAATTAGGATTTAATGTTTATATTACAAAAGTATTATAAAGGAAGATTAGTTTAATATAATTTAGGTAAAATTCAATATTATGTTTCCAGTTAAATATCTGATCATCAAAAGAATCATTAAAGGCAGCTTTGTAAAAAATTTAGATTAGGGATATTTTTAAAGATGATTTCTTGTTGTTTATTTTGTGAACTATGATAAATACTGCATTTTTTTATCATTTAAATGATTTTAAATTGAACAAGAGCTTAGATTGATAAACAAAAAAAAAATTTTTAATTATATTTTACAAGAAATAATTTACATTTACTAGTTTTTCTGAAGTTGAAGAGAATTTTTAATAGATAATTTTTGAGTAATATTAAGATATACTATGAAATTTAAATAAATCGCATAAAAATTAGAATAAATAAAATCATAAGTATGACTTTATAAATATAAACTAAAATTGATTAAATAAAATTATTTTAATAATATTTAAATTTGTTATGAAAATTAACGTATACAATTACTAATAATTGTGATCACTAAATAGTAAATGATGATATTATTGATAAAGATTGGATTTTATTTTTGGTTTAGAAAAATGAATTATAATGATTGCATATCTTTATTATGGCCATGGAAAATTTTTTATGAATATAAAAAAATAATAATGTTAAATTTATGAAAAAAAATAACTGTATGACAGACAATTTATAATTAATTTAATAAAAATTAATATTAATGATGGATGGTGGTCCCTTCAAAAATATACTTTGCACTCATCATAATAAGCCTATTACAAGAATAAAGATATAATAAGGTATAAATTCAGGAGAAAGACTTTTGTGTTCAAAATGTTTAGGAGCAGGAGAATCAATTGAACTACTTACAAACATTTTGGATTAGTTATAAATAGTATTACAATCAAATCAACTAAATTATAAGAGTCTTCAATTAAAATTATAAAGGCTTAAGTTAGAAATAGGAAATATAATAAATTAAGTATTTTCTTACAT